TTGGCTAAGCACATGTTTAAATATCTTTTAAACATCATTATGAAATCATATAACATTTATTTAGGTAATCTCATAATTAACCCAAAAGTTATAAGATATTAAGCCGTCCACTCACCTTGAACTAGCGTTATGAAGTTCTACTCTTCTTGGTTGAACTCCGGTGAAACTCCGGCGACTTTTGGTCAACTCCGGCGACTACTCCGGCGACTTTTCCAACCTTGTGAAATCACATGAAATACCCTTTACAAGTTCCTAACAAGGTTTTATAATCATAAAACCCATGTTAATACAAATAACCTCAAAAAGGTTATTTTCCGGTGAACCGGTCGTTTTGGCTTCTAAGTCCGTTCTTGGACATAGAATCACTTTCCAACCCATTAATCCATACTTATAACATGTAGAACCCTCTTGAGGATCCTTCACATGATATGTATCTCACATGATAAGGTTCTTACCTTAGTTTTCACACCTTTTCCTAGCTTTTTTTCTTCTATAATCTTCCTCCTTGGACTCCTATTGCTTGGGCTTTGTTCTTGGATATGGAGGATGTATTTTGCAGGGGGTTTCCTCTCCTCTTGATGAGCCTTGGCCGAAAATGAGGGTGGGGGTGAGAGGAAATGCCAACTTTTGGCTTATTCCACCATGATAACATGGCAAGGACCCCCCATGTGTCCTTTTGATGCCAATCCCCTCAAGTCAACCACTCCCACACCCCTCCTCTCCAATCAGCCAGCCTCCCCTCCTCTCACAGCCCACAAAAAAACGTGGGGTGGCCCCCACTCATGTGGGAGGTCATCCCTTTGTGTCCCGGTGTGTACAATCGGTCCCGAAAGTTGTATTTTTCGGACTGTTTTAAATATATTTTATTTTATCGGGTCAAATAAAATATATTATGTGCTCTTACTCATTATGACATGTATAATGAATATACATTCCCCAACTTTAATTTATAAGCCTCCGAAATTCAGTTCGGGCTGCTATCTGTTGAATTACCAGTACCGGTAATTTGGGCTTCTTTTGACCAATCGGTCGACTCCGGGCCTTTCTATGGCCCAAATGAAATATCCCCCACTATATATTTATTATCTAGACCAAGATGAATAAAATATATGGTCTCGGGAATGTCGGGCGGCCCCCGCTCCCGGTGTGGGCCCCACGTGCAATTTACTATTCACGCGAAAGAATAATAAAAATTTACAACTTCGTAAATTCGTAAATCATTCCATAAGGTTTATTACATCATTTACTTGAAAGTAAATACATTTGGGGACGGTGTTACAGTTTGACGGATGAACAACGTATTGTTTATGAAAAGATTATGCAATCAGTTGATACAGAGTGTGGAGGCATGTACTTTGTTTATGGATATGGCGGAACTGGGAAGACATTTGTTTGGAGAACTCTATCGGCTGCCTTGCGATCCAAAGGGGACATCGTATTAAATGTGGCATCTAGCGGCATTGCTTCTTTACTGCTGCCTGGAGGGAGAACTGCGCACTCACGTTTTGCAATTCCAATTAGTTTGAATGAAGACTCCACTTGCAATATAAGGCAAGGTAGTCCCCTCGCTATACTTATTACCAAGTGTAAATTGATAATTTGGGATGAGGCTCCGATGCTTCACAAATTTTGCTTTGAGGCATTGGATAGAAGCATGCGTGACATTCTTAGATTCACCAATCCAAACAGTCTGAACTTGCCCTTTGGTGGTAAGACAATTGTTTTTGGAGGTGACTTTCGCCAAGTGTTGCCCGTAATACCGCATGGAAGTAGACAGGAGGTTGTTAATGCTACCATTAATTCTTCTTACTTGTGGGGGGAATGCACTGTTCTTAGGTTGACCAAGAACATGAGGTTGCAAAACGTAAGTAGCCCAACAGAAAGTTATGACTTGAAGTTGTTTGCTGAATGGATTGCAAGTATAGGTGATGGTATTGCTGGTGAAATAAATGACGGTTGTGTCTCCATTAAAATTCCCGATGACATCTTGATCAAGTACTCAGGAGATCCAATTGCTAAGATTGTGGAGACAATTTATCCTGATTATCAAAAATCAAGTACGAATTTGAGTTACTTGAGAGATAGAGCCATTCTTGCTCCCACTCTTGATGTAGTTGATTCTGTTAATGACTATATGACGGCTTTGAATACTAAGGAAGTGTCGAGAACCTACCTTAGTTCAGACAGTGTTTGCAAATCCGATGCCACACATGATCTAATCGCAGAGTTGCACACTCCGGAATTCTTGAACAGTATAAAGCTTTCTGGACTGCCAAATCATGTATTAACTTTGAAAGTTGGGACCCCAATCATGCTTTTGCGTAATATTGATCACTCGATGGGTTTGTGTAATGGGACACGACTAATCATAACAAAGATGTGCGATCATATCTTAGAAGGTATGGTTTTGAATGGTATGAGTGTGGGACAAAAAGTTTTAATACCACGGTTGACTTTGACACCGTCTGATACTCGATTACCATTTAGATTTCAAAGGAGACAATTCCCTATTATGGTTTCTTATGCAATGACTATCAATAAAAGTCAGGGCCAATCTCTCAGTCATGTTGGTCTCCTTCTGAAAAAACCAGTGTTTAGTCATGGACAGTTATATGTTGCAGTGTCAAGGGTAACCAATCGTGCCGGTCTCAAAATCCTCATTCAAAATGAAGATGGTCTTCCAGAGGATGAAACAATGAATGTTGTTTACAAAGAAGTTTTCCATAATGTGTAATATTTCACTTTATACAACGATGTTATTACTTGAGACTACTATTTGACACATCATCCTTTAATTCATGTGTTGTATGATGTATCATGTTTAACTTTATAACTGATTAAATTTTGATAGACGTCCAATTTTTACCCACCAAAAATTTCACCCACCGTGCATCGCACGGGTACATGCTAGTGAATATAATTAAAGAATTTAATTTAAAATTAAATCTCTAAATCTTCAAAAACTCGAACGTTCATTGATTCTTCGAATCTTCGTTCTTGAGATCTTCGAATCTTCGAACTTCGTTCTTCAGATCTTCAAATCTTCTTGAATGCAAAATTCAATATTGAAGGGCCTCCGGTTTCAAGTAGCTTGATCTTCAACAAAAGGGCCGTTATGTGGCTTGATCTTCTGTTAAAGGGCTTCCCGGGATATATGGCTTGATCTTCAATTGAATATTGATTCAATCTTCATATGAATATCTTCAAATCTTCAAAGATTCGTTCTTCATATCTTCGAATCTTCAAAGCTTCGTTCTTCAGATCTTCGAATCTTTAAGCTTCGTTCTTCAGATCTTCGAACGTTCTTCAACTTTTGGCTTTGTTTGATCAAGAATCGATGAAATCACAAAGGATTATTCATATATTCTTGACAAAAACGTGGCTTGATCTCTTCCTCTTCTTCGGAATCCTTCAGAGCCTTTCGGGAGCTCTTCAGAGCTTTGCTGCAGCGTTTCTTCGTCTGGAAGTTCTCCTCCATTCCACTCAACTGAGACCCCTATTTATAGGTGTGGAGGGGGTGAAAATATGGCTTAGGGTTGCAAAATTCGTCCATACCTTATGGGCCTCAATTAAAATGGGCTCCGGGCTCTATTTGCTTGCATTTGATAGCTAGAAAAATCAGCACTTGTTCGATGTATTTGGACAGCTTTTTTTTAACAAGGTTCAGAGCTATTTTTCATGCATATGGACACATTTCTTAACCAGATTCATTGCTCTCTTTATCAATTGGATCATGTCTCTTATGTATCAGGCCACTATTTAATAATGGGCTCAAAATCAAGAAATTAATAAGACCAATCCATTCTTTTAAGGATTTAATTTATAATTGGATATTTTCAATAACCCAAATTAATTTAATCACTAAATTATATTCGAATGGACGCATATTAATATTTTTGAAAAAAACCCATCCACCATCACGAGCAGCCCACTAAGATCGACGTTGGCTAAATATCATTCGAAAGAGGCCCAAAGTGATTGAGAATAGTCTGATAGATTTTAAGAGGTCTAATTGGTCCAATAATTTTCATATGTCCACAAATGCCCCTCGAGACTTGCTTGAATATCTGAAGAGGTAAAAGTAAGTCTCGAAAATAATATTCCATATTCACCTCATCTTTCGGAAATAGTTCTGAGTGCTTAACATAATTTCAAGCAAAATGATTGGCTCAAATCATTTATTCTCACTAGCTTGAAATAAAGCCCTTGTTCCGCTCAAATATAACCAACTATCAATTTAAGTTATTTTGGATCTTCGTCAAAAGCAGGCCTAAATAACCAATCTGTACAATCCCAATCGTGTACATTCTTAAAGGGATAAGGACCAAATATTGAAGTCTCCTTAACTTAAAAAAAGACTCGTACTCTTAACTTGGAAATTCTATTAGAACTCTAATTCCACCCTTTCTAATCACAGTTCGTATACCATACGACCGTCCCACCATGAGCATCATGCTCCGACTCCCAAAACGACGTAGTTTTGGGCAATTTAAAAAAAATCGCGTGAACAGTACGCGTGTACAGTGACTTTTTTTTTGTCCCAGTAACATGAATGGTGTAACTCGCGTGTAAAGATATGTAACTCACATTATTGATCAATGTAACTCCAGCCCATCCAAAATGTAATTTGTCAAATATTGATTTCAATGTAAACAATGAAAAAAGAGTCTAATTGCACAATTGATTTAGGTAAAACATGAATATGTTTTGTTTTTAATATCTTTCATCAAAAAATAATTTTTTAAAAAAGTTCATTTTTTTATTCAATAGCAGAGGTTGATTTTTTTTATGTAATTCGTGTTATTACCAATGTGACTCGCGTTGATGGCCAATGTAACTTATATGTATACAGAATGTAACTTGTTGGAAAATTGAACAATGATTATTTTGTTTGTTTGAGATATTATAAACATTGTTTTCAATGTAAGCAATGAAAAATTGATCCTAATAGCTTAATTACTTTTTTAAATAGTGAATGTGTTTTATTTTTAATATTAGGGCAATAAAAATGATATAGCAGGGGTTTATTCTGTGGTGTAACTTGCATACATTAAGATGTAACTCGTGTACATTAAGATGTAACTTGCGCAGAAGAAGATGTAACTTCATGATATATTATCAAATGTAACTTCAAGAATCAAAATAAACAAACTCAATGTCTTAAAACCCTCTAAAAACATATAAAAGTGATAAAAAATATTTCTCAGAATATAAAAACAGAGATAAGTAAAAAAATATTTCTCAGAATAAAAAAAAGTGTATGAATAAGTACTAAGACAGAAACAAAAAGTAACTAATTTATTTTGAAATGATGAATATTTGATCACAAAATTGTAATACACACATTTCAATGTTCCTAAATTAAAAAATTGATAGCTTTTGATAATGGAAACATTAAAAGTAAAAAAACGAAAAAGATAAAAAGAAAGAGGGTGGGGGAGTGAGAGTGTTCAACTGGATGGGAAAAGCTTTTGGATAAAGACAAAAAAAATAGAAAACGAAACCATGTGAGTGGGGAATGCAATTGAGCGAGATTTATTTAGAAAACGGTACCGTATTTAGACCGGTATACCATGTGCATGGTATACCGGTCGTACGGTATAATTTGGGTTCTAATCAGGTTCAAGCTCTTCTGTTAACGTGAATAACGCTCAAACAATTGAAAAATCTGGGCAGCTCTTTTCCTAATTCAAATATCCAGCCCAAGTAATTTATGCTTGTCGAATTAGAATTCCAGTTGAACTCCTATCACCACCTTAAACATAAGTTTACTCCTTGTTGAATTCTCTCTCTCAGCGTGGGATCCCGATTCATATTCAACTATAAATAGGGGCAATATCAACCTGCAAGGCATCCTATTTATAATTCTGCGGCAGATTAAAAAAAATCAGCAACTCCGTAGTCCATAGAGCAAGGAAAGGCAGAAGGTAAACCTCTCTTAATTTTCTTATTATTCTTCCTTCTTTTGGTGTTTTGCAGGGAAGAGAGCTACAAAAGACGAGCCAAGCCGCAAATCACTGGTCCTGCCGGCAGCTGGTGTCAATTCGAGATTCAGGGGAAGCCGCTATTGCCCCTGTTGTTTTCGGAATCTGAGTTGGTGTCGTAGAAGGGTCTGCGGCGTTGCCGCCGATGGTATTGCTGAACTTGAGATAGATTGTCGCTGGCCAGAGTGTTGTTGCCGCTGTTGGATCAAAAGCTGAGCTCAAGGAGGGTCGAGTTCCAGATTGAATTGCCACCGGCCAGATTTTTGTTGATGCAACGAACAGAGACTTCAAGAAGGACTGTTGCCGATTTCCTCCTCCATCCGTACGCTCATCGAAGAAGAAGGTATGGCAGAAGTTCGGTGTTGATTTCCGGCGAGGAGCTGCTGCTTGAAGGGAAAAAGGCTTGTAGATCTGTTCGTGGAAGATGGAGTTCCAGTGCCGCCGATGCTGTTATGCCGCCGAGGCTGAGGGTCGCTGAGGAAAATTGGGACTTGGCTATAAATTGGGCAAATGGAAGTTTGACCTGTTTATAATTTGAGCCTTCCCTTTTTTTAAAGGGGATATTTTTTCACAAATGGAGCTATTCAATAACAAGGAGACCCGATATCCTCCTATCTCAAGTGATTTAATCATTGCACCACTTATTAAAGAGGACGAAGTTCGACTGATTGGCTGCTGCTAGTGCCGTGGACAAGAGATGATGGTGCTGACTTTGTTGCTATCGGCGCCGTTTAGCCCTTTGTTGCGATGGCGCCGATTTGAAGAATTAGGCCGATTCTCGATCGTCGTTGCTGCTTAGCCCTTTGTTGGGATAACATCGATTTAAAGAATTGGGCCGATTCCCGATTGTCGGTGCTGCTTAGCCCTTTGTTGGGATGGCGCCGATTTGAAGAATTGGGCCGATTCCCAATTGTCGGTGCTGCTAGCCCTTTGTTGGAATGGCACCGATTTAAGGAATAAGGCCAGTTGCCGATTGTCAGTGCTGCTTAGCCCTTTGTTGGGATGGCGCCGATTCGAAGAATTAGGCCGATTCCTGATTGTCGGTGCTGCTTAGCCCTTTGTTGGGATGGCACCGATTTAAGGAATTAGGCCAGTTGCTGATTGTCGGTGCTGTTTAGCCCTTTGTTGGGATGGCACCGATTTGAAGAATTAGACCGTTTCTCAATCGTCGCTGCTGTTTAGCCCTTTGTTGGGATAGCACCGATTTAAAGAATTAGGCCGATTCCCGATTGTCGGTGCTGCTTAACCCTTTGTTGGGATGACACCGATTTAAGTAATTAAGCCGATTCCCGATCGTTGGTCCCGCGTAGATGTCGCTGCCACTTTCGACCTTTGTTCATTTTGAGGGAGCTTGACAAATTATTGACCGGTGTTACTGAATTCTTCGTTCGTCTAGTCTGAATATGACATCCGTTGTTTGGGCCTGAGACAAATTATTACCACCGAGCTGCCTCTTTTATTATCATTATTATCATTATTATTATTACCTTAGTTTTTTTTTAAGTAATAATAATAATACTAATAATAATAATGACACTTTTTTTTGCAGTCCTTGCAGTATAAAGAATGGTGGGGTCAAGTCCATGGAAGTTTTCTGGAAAATCATGTGAGTGATTTGATCAGGATTTACGATCTTGCTATTGGCGATGTGGTTACCCCTTCGGATCCCGTGACTCCAGTCTCCAAGAAGAAGAAGAAAGTACCTGATACTGAAGCTAAGTCTTCGCCTCAGAAAAGGGCCAAGCTTGTAGCACTTAGGGCTGAGATTCTGATCAAAGATGCTGAGAAAGAAACACCTCCTGCCAAGGCGAGTGAGAATCAAGTTCTTGAGAAGCAAAGTAATGATGATAGGAATTGGAAACATCTTCAGAGAAAACCTCATCCTGGGCCACTGAGGGTTAGTCTCATTATTTAACAATTTAACTTAATCTCAAGTTTGGACTTATAGTTTCTTCCTTCTTTTGCAGATTCATCCAATCCTTGATGACGCTAGTTCTTCAAATCATGTTTCTTTATCTAGCTCAAGTGAAGGAGAAACTGAAGATCATGACACCGTTGCGGGGTTGATGGCAAAAATTGCCCCAAGTAATTGCAAAGAAGTTCCAACCAACGAGATACCGAAGTCCCCTCATGTGAAACCGGCTGTCTCCGTTTTTCAAGCAGAGAACTACTTCTTTCCTTTGTATAAGCGGTTCCTCATTGACACTTGGTGTGGTATTCAGGAGAAGTTAGGAAAGGCTACAACAGAGAACGTCTCTTCTTTTCGGGAAAGTGTGGAGAGTTGTGTTATCTTGATGGAGAAGGAAGGCATTGACCTTTCCATGTTGACGACAAGGGTGAAGCATTTCTTTGAAAGGGCGCAAGCATTTGATCAGAAGTGTTCTGCTATTGCTGACAGGGTCCCCACGGAGAGGCAATCTCGGGAATTAGATATGTTGCAAGCTTTTTGTGCAGATATTGAAGCTAAGAGATCTCAAAATCAGGTCGCATTACTTGATGATGAGAAATCTCTTAATGAAATCAAGAAGAAGATAGCCTTATTGGAAGCTGAAGCTAAGGAAGTAGAAGCTTTGATTTTACAGCATCATGCAGAAGCTAGCGACTTAGATGCAGCTCTTACAAAGGCCAAGGAGGAATCTTCACAGATTTTGAAGACTATCAAAGCATCAGACGAAGATCAGCTTGCTTTAAGTACCCAGAAGAAGGAGCTAGAGGCTTTGAAGGATGACTTAGTCAGCTTTAAGTTATTTTTAGGCTGAGTTTGTTTTTACTTGTTTATAGATTAGCTTTTTAGTCAGCTAGCACTTTCCTTCTTTTCTTTCCATCAAACTATATATGGATATATATTTGATTGCTTTCTTGCTCCTCATGAGTTGATATCGTCTTACTTTTCCTTTTTTTTTACCAAGATCAAACTTTATTGGGGTTTGTGTTGTTATAACTGAACTCAAAAATGAAATTTTTGAGCTGCCTACGTACTCCTATGAAGGAGATCAAGTCAAACGTAGTTCATAGGTACCATTTGAATTGGTAATCTAAAAAGAGGTGGGGTGCCGTACACAGTTTTAACTCATGCGGGCCAGGAGCTTGCCGTACACATTTTTAACTCTTGTGGGACAAGAGTATCTATGATTATGCTCACCCATAGACAAAGTGAGATGTTTTAGCAGTTTAGCCACTTACAACATCATTGGTGGTTTAAGCCATTCAGCACTTTATTTGACATATCTATACCCCGACATCAAGGGTACTGAATCTTCATATTGGTCTTCATATTGACCACGAGTCTGCACAATGGTCACTGGCTTGACTTTAAGTGAATTTCCATAGGTTACTTTCATATCAATTTCTCGCTTCATACGAGATGGGATAAAACTTCTATACTCATTAAAACTTTGCTTTTCAAAAGGAACCTTAGCAGATATATTGAGTTCATGTTTCAATCTCAATCTTTCATGAACAGACTTTCTTTCAAAGTTTTGTCCCATGCATGGGTCTTCAATGTGCTTCATCATCATCGGGCTCGTTCCAAGCCATTCTTGTAAAGTCTTCTTCATGATCTTCTTTGGCTTTGGCCCCATTTTGTCAAAGATGGCAGGTCTTAATCTTGCCCCCAATCCGATCAAAGACAGAATACTTCGGCTTAGAAGTCACTTCGTCTTCTTCATCAACACTAATATGATGCGTTGCGGCTCTATTTATGAGGATCCTGGGTTTCGGTTGAACATAACCCAATCCTGTGTGCCCTCGAAGATTGATATGCTTCGGTATCCCTTCACCACCAGCTTCCGGAATGAATTTTCTCAACCTCTGTTCGTTGGGATTATTCCCAGCCTTGGCCAGAAGTTTGTATGCATTTGGGTCAAATCCTTCATTTGTGCGTGCCTTAGGGAGCTGAAATGCGTTAACATCATTCCCACTTTTTACTTCCTCCTCAGATGTGTTTTGAGGAGGCTTTGATATTTCAATCTTTGCAAAAGGGAATGTAAGCCCTTCTATGCCTTCAACAAGCTTTCCTTTCAGCTTTGGTCCAATCAAAGGGCGATATTCTTCCTCTTTTCTAGCATTGTCATCTTTAGAAATTTTGGCCTTTAGGTAAAACTTCGCATCTGCAAAGTATGTCTCGGCCACTACCTTCTTTACAACACCATTTTGCTCATACATGAAGCATTGGTGCCATGTTGAAGGGATTACACCGTTCTCATGGATCCATGGGCGTCCTAGAAGGAGATTGTATGAAGCCTTTGCATCAATCACATGGCATAGAGTGTTTGCCTTCAGTCCGTCGATGATCAAGTCAAGACGTATCATTCCAATCGCCCTTTGCCCCCCTTGATTGAAGCCTTGAATCATCAAGCGGCTTTGGGAGAGTTCATCCATTGATATATCAAGGTCTTTCATAGCTCGAACCGTCAGAATGTTAACGGCAGACCCTTGATAAATCATAATTCTTTTGAATCTTTGTCCACGAGTGTATCCTTCAACAAAAAGAGGACGGTTATGGGGAGTAGCACCCAACATGAGATCTTCGTCTTTAAAGACAATGTCAGTGACGTATGAAGTAGATTTTTGTGCTTCGACCACTTCTTTCTTAGTCGAAACTAGAGATGGACATCCACTTGAACTCTCAACTTCTTCTTCATGGGTGCTAAGACAAGAACTTGAAATTTCAGTCATCTCGTTCTTGAAATCCTTTGGCATAAAATCGTTGAGAGTAATCACCCTTCGTGCAGTTTTGGAACGAACACGATCCTTCTTTTGTTTCTTTTGCTTTAACTCGTTTATCGGTTGTCGCTTGACCCATTTCTTTACCACCTTCATCAGTTGTGGCTTATGTTTGTGGTTCTTATTTTGTTTATCTCGGGCTACTAAGATTCGTGGATCTTCCTTGTCATTATTTTCTTTATCTCTCATGCTTTTCTTGAAACGAGAGTCGTTCCCCATCACTTTAATAGTAAAAGGAAATCTTTGATTGTGAGAGTTCTTGCTCTCTTCTTTCGAGTCATCTTTGACCATGAATGGAGAAAACCTACCAAAAGTGATGGCAACTTGGTTTGTGCTTGCAGCAGAATCGGCGAGCTCAATCTTTCCATCACGAGCTAGTGCCATGATTTTGTCTTTAAGAACCCAACACTTCTCAGTGGGATGACTTAGAATTCGATGATAGTTGCAGTATTTGGGGTCACCAACTTTCATGGCTTCCTCGGGTCGCTTGGACTCAGGCAAACTGATAAGATTCAATCTCGTCAGTTCCTCAAACATGAGAGGAACGTCAGAGTCTAAGAAGGGGTAATTCTTTTCCAACATCTCTTCTAGAAATGGTTTAACGCGTTTTGATGCCTCCAAGTCGGCTCTAGGAACTTGCTTTGAATTTTGAGTGAAGATCTTAACAGGTGCAGTCTTCGTGACCATTGCTTCTTTCTTTTCAAACTTAGAAAAAGGCTTGCCCCCATTCTTGGTATCTTGTTGTTCAACCGCATTATTGACGGGATACATACCCACGCTTTTCCTTCTACTGCTCGTAATGCTCAACTCCATGTTACGAGCTTTGCTTGCTAGCTCATCAAAAGTGTTTGGATTGACTCCTTTGAGAATGTAGCACAATTCCCAATGCATTCCTTCAATGCACATATCGATAGCGGAGCTTGTAGAGATTCGTTCTTTACAGTTTAGAGCAAGGTCCCTCCAACGCTCGATGTAAGCTATCACAGATTCATCTTTCCATTGGCGAGTAGTTGTTAGTTCGAGTAAGCTAACCACCCTCCTTGTGCTATAGAAACGGTTTAAGAACTCACGTTCCATATCTTGCCAATTATCAATGGAACCGGGCTCCAAGTCAGTATACCAGTCAAATGCATTTGCTTTAAGGGAGCGCACAAACTGCTTGACAAGGTGATCTCCGCTTGTTCCCGCATTGTTGCAAGTCTCTACAAAATGGGCAACATGTTGTCTCGGGTTTCCCTTTCCATCAAATTGGATGAACTTTGGCGGTTGATAACCATTGGGCATCTTTATGTCTTCAATTCTTTGAGTGTACGGCTTAACGTAAGAGTACGTTGCTTGGTTGCCTTCGATCTTCCCCTTTATGGTTCCCATGATGAAATTTTTGAGTTGATCAATTGGGATCATGCCCCCAGAGGTTGAGATATCCTTCCCTGAATCCTCTTGGTGAGGATCATTCTCTTCATTCACTTCGGGATCCTTTTCATGAGTATGACTTGACTCACCTTTCAAGCTTTCTACTTTGTTGTTCAAATCATTCAACTTTTGGTCTTGAGCTTGCATGAACATTGTAAGGAATAAATGTATTTAGATTTTGATGATGCTATAGGATTAGAATTTTAAAGTACCCCCAAATTAGATTTTATGTATTAGAATTTTCAATTGTAAGTATTAGTGTAGTCGACGATCAGAGTTGCTCTATTTTGGATCAGATCAGAAGTGCATCAGAACTGCTCGACCAGACTTGCTCTATGAGAACTGCTCCATCAGAGTTCTCTTAGCAGAAGTCCATCAGAGTTGCACTATGAGAGTTGCTGATAAACTTGGACATCTGATAACCGATGAGAACTACAGATCAGAGGTACTCATCAGCGGACCTATCAGAGTCAGAGATCAGAAAGCCATCAGAACTCAACTCATCAGAAAGCCATCAGAACTCAGAAAGCCTTCAGAATCCGACACATCAGAAGAGCCTGATCAGAGCCCGACTAACACTTAGAAGATTTCAAGCAACATCCAACAGCTACGAATCCAACGGGTAAAACATCCAACGGCTAGAAGACTGTGCATGAAAGGAAAGCATTTAATGCACATTAAATGAGCCTGATACGCTGAAGGATTGATTGCAAATGATTGACCAAGGAATCCGGGAAGATATATTATAAAAATAGAAACCTTCCAAAACGGCGGTCAAGTCAACTGTACGCGCATTTAATGCAGTTGTCTCCTCCTCCAACGGGCAGACAACCCCAGTATATAAGCTACTCACCGAAGAACAGGGATACAACTTTGCTACAACTCTTACACATCATCATTCAAGCTCTCTTGAGATTCAAATTCTACAACCTTCAACAAGACAAGCTTACGTTGGGAAGATTCAAACTCCAAATCTCTCATCCCCAACAAACAAGCAAAGTTCATCCTGTTCTTCAACACTTCAAGAACTTCTTCAAACATCCTTTGTAACGAAGCAAGTTGGAGGAAAAACTCTGTTTTTCAAAAGGATCTTCTGAAAAGAAGGGCGTCCAAGTAACTGCAGTAGTGAAGTGGTGATACTTCCGGGAAGCTGAGTGAAAGGACCAGCCATCAGGACGTGGAACTGCATCCTGGGTGGCAGCTAGACTTGAAGAAGGCGTGGAGAACTTCTTAAGTGCTAGGAACTAAGCTTTGTAACCGATCTACTTCAAAGCTAGTGGAACAGTGGACTAGAGGAACGAGTTGTTCCTTGAACCACTATAAAAATATCCGGTGTCATTTACTTTACTGCTATTTATATCTCTGCACTTAGGATATTAACTGATTAACTCTAAAACTTGGAATCTGTGTTCAGCAGATCTTGTTTTCAGAGTTATCAGAAAGGCATTTGCCTTAGTGTTTCTGAGGCTACCCGGACAGATCAGAATCCGCTGCCAAGGCCGGTTCTGATATCAGAACCAGCCTTTCTCTGTCATCAGAATCAGACCTTCTCTGATAAGTCAATTTGGACTTAGAAAAAATTTGAAAAACCAACCAGTCTATTCACCCCCCCCCTCTAGACTGGTTACCATATTAAACGGGACCAACAAGTGGTATCAGAGCCTCCTTGTTCTTGTAATCTTTTAGGTTACTCTCTGAACAAAGATCCACTTGTTCTTGCCTCTATTT